CAACTTTATTCTTAGAAGTGCCGCAGTCAAACTTGATAAGGTCAGAGCCTGAATGAGACCAGAGTTCAATCTTGTCTGTGGTCTTGTTGGGGTTTAACTATGTGGTACTTGACTTCTTTTATTTATCATGGCCATGGCTATTTTATTTTATTTTATTTTGGACATTGTGTCAATTTGAATGATTACATATTTGAATAATGAATTTGATAATTAAAACATTCATATTTTCTAATATTTGCACTTATTCAGGTGTTATGAAATGGAGAAGAGGCTAAAAACCCCAGATCTTTTCAAATTTCCTTTCTTTGAAGCCATCTGTTGGTTTGTGGCCAAAAACTTACTGGAAACATTGAAAGGTAATTCTTGTTTTAAGAGATGCACTTATATCTACTTTCATAATTCTTTGTCTCTTCATGGATAGTGAAGAAAATTGCACTGCTTTTCTGTGAACAGAGGAGACTTTTTAAGCTGGAAAACTAGACTTGAATTACTTCTTCTTTTCTTTTTTTTGGAAAGTCACATCATTTTTTTAATCAGATTTTAGTGAGTACTGCAATGTGACAGTTCTAGATCCAGCAGTTCTTGGTTTTCATAAATGATCTTGCTAAAAACTGCTTTGATGATTAAAGGTAGTAATAACCAAGAGGTGATTAAAAGGGTAACTTGCACTGGACAGAAATGTTAGTGCATTTAGTGGTGCATGTAACTCACACCTCATAACCTGCTGCTGGAACTTTTGAACTATTTTATTAGTGTTTTATTTAGTGTTTTTCATCTAATGCTTATGCTGTATCCAGTCAATGAAAATATTCTAGATTTTAAAGGCAGAATATCTGAGATGCTGGTACATTGCAATTATACTACCAGCCAAATAGGATTAATTTGCCATTATCTCACAAGACTTTTTTAAGGAAGACAGGAAACTTATTTCCATGGCATCAGTTTTTCTTTCAAGCTTCTTTCATATCATTTAAGATCTTGGAGTACCCTTGGATAGCCTTTCCTTCAAGCAAGTGATTCTATGAAATGATCCCACCAACTTTTATCTGTGGGTTTTTTCTTGATGGCTTCAGTGCTGAACAGAGAAACTTTTTTGCACTTCTACAATTTTCTTTGACCTTTTCAGTTACTCTACCTGTTTTCTTCTGCTCTTGGTTGTGAAGAGAGTTCATCAGTTCCTATGAGCTTGCTGTTCTTTTCCAAACTTCCTCATCTATTCTTTAATTGCTATATTTGTACCCATGTATAATTGAGCTTGAGAGAATGTCTGTCTGACTTCACCTTCTTTTCCTCAAATATCTTGCCCTCTGCCTGCTCTATTTAATTTTAATAATATGATGTATTTCAAAGGACAGAAATCAACCTTCAGAGGAGGCTGCTGAATTCAGCTTCTGCTTTGAAAGAGATCAGAATCTCACATAACCTTTTTCTCATGTGGAAACAGTCACAAGTTATTGAAAATTATCTGTTCTCCTTTCAGCTAATGAAGACATTGAACAACCCTTGTTTCCAAAATGAGCATTTAAAGTTTCTGGTGAACCCTAAAGCAACTCAGAAATCTTACCAAATAGAACAAACTTGCAGAAAATTTTTCCTTCCAAAAAGAGAGTATTTTTTTCTTGAAAGCTTGCTTTGGTTGGCCTCAGTCCTGCGTATTTAATGCTTGCAAACTCATCAGAAGACACAGGAACTGTATTCCTGCTGGAAAAGCAATGGAATATGTATGTTTCTGTATCACCTAGCTAACTATAAGCTGTGTCTGTTGGCCCCACTCTTCCCCCTCCCCTTTTTATCCCATGACTCCTTGAGTTCATAGGCTAGGAGCCTCTTGTGACTTAGGGGAGGAGGACGAAACTTATTCTCATGTTACATTTAATCTTTGGCTCAGTAGATGTTTGTTGCTGAACAATGCTATGACCTATAAACCCATCATAAAAAATAAAAATTCAGGTTTCCATGGCTAGAATGAATTCTATGTTGGGCTTTGGCATGAAGACTCATATGAATTATATGTTTTATAGTCAGAATCCATTGTTTTATAAACAAGGGATGATACCGGTTCGGTTATGTAAGGTAATGGTGATGTCCAGCCTTTAAATTGTTGAGTTGTTGGCAGTACTTTATATGAAATCCAGGTCAGTAAGCAAATTCAAAGCAGCATATCTTTCTTCTTCTTTTTCTAAAATGCCAGCAGGGTCACAGACATACCAACTGAGCCAGGTAGTGGGCAGGAAGACTTCTGCAGCTCAAAGCCTGCCCCTCCTTCTCATACGTTTTGAAAAGTAGGAGGCCTTTGAGAGATGAACAACTCTTCAGTAACAGAACTTCATTTTTTGTGCCAGCATACTAATACATTATCCATAAGAACAGTGTTTTATTAGTGTATTCTTTTAAGGGAATAAAATGAGCCAAGTAGTTCTAGTGTTGATCCATTTGCTGTTGACAAGTAGAAATATTTGTCAGGAACACGAGGAGAGGCCGTAATCTACTTTTGGCTGTTTATGGAGTATTTGTCTTTTCCCTTCTTTTTTCACCCCTGTGGAGGAAAAGAGAAAAGGAATTGCAATTACTTGGAAGCTCCAGCTTCCTTTAGAAAGGGAGCTTCTGTAGCAGAGTGGTTTCCATCTCATGTCCCCTTTGATTTTGGGAGGAAAAATGCTATAAACCGTGTGAGGGAGAATTGATAACTGAAAGGGTTAGAGAAAATGTTTGGGGAATGGAAATATCCTAGTGTGAGCCATTTGCAGAGTATATATGGGAATAAGTGATACAAATTCTAATTTAGAGATACATCCCACATCCTTCTGGTCCCCTATGACTAAAATATTTCTTAATGAGATAAAAGTGATTTATTTCTTCAAATATGTTTTCTTTTGTTATGTATTTTAAATGTTTTTTTTTTTTTTTT